TGTAAAGTACTAGGCTGCAAGGATGTAAGTCTGTCGGGGTCATGACGGCTGAGTTGACACCGCTCGGAGTTCGTAGTCCTAAGGGTCCGGGTTCGATCCCCGGCGAAGACGGAAACAAATGGGCAGAATTTCTTTCACTCCTGATGCTATTGTTCACCTAGCAGTAAATAGGTACCTGGGAGTTAGACAGCTGTTACGGGCTGCTTCCTGGGGATGTGTGTGTGTGAAAATTAGGATTAAGCACTTCCCCGAAACGCTTTGCGTGCTAGTGGCTGTACAAGAATAAAAGAACTCTAGTATATGTAAATAAAAATAAAAAAGTATGTGGCGGCAGATGAACATGTGAAGAAGAAGTATTATTCCACAAGTGGCATTACCTTGCCACTTGGAGGAATAACTTAGAGGAGGCCTGGTCGACGACCGGGCCGCGGGGACGCTAAGCCCCGGAAGCACTTCAAGGTAACCTTGAACTTTCATTAACCTCTCTCTTTATCAGTCTCTAGGCATGGTCTCATGCTAATTTACGAGTCTGGGGCAAATAATTTGAATCATTCAATCACTAAAATCAAATAAAGGCACACAATTATAAGTAAAAACGCACACACACACAAGTTACTGGAAAGTTGAGAACTACCAGAGAGGTGGAAGACAGACAAAGTTGTGCCAACTCATAAAGAGAGAAACAGGCAGGAGGCATTACACTTCAGGCCTATATCTATTACATATCATGCAAGGTGATGGGAAATGTCATAAGAAATGTCATAAGAAAGATGCCAGTAGAACACTGGATTAGAACGGACTGTATAACAAAACACGATCATGGTTTAATTGATTGATTAGATTGTTGCCGCCGGAGGCGGCTATAGTTTATTGTGCACCCCATACTCATCCTGTGAGACGTGGCAAATCCGGAGTCACGAACTTTATAAAGTTCGTGTCATTTCTTTTGTCATTTCTTCAGCCTAATACATTTATGTTTGAGGTATGTTGCTTGCTAAATGTGTTGCTGTTCCAGCAGTGTCTGGTTGAACATTTGCCTGAATGGTAAGAGCATAATAATAAAGGGAGTGTAAAAAGCTTCTGGGCCCATACTTGGCAGCTTCTATTTATATTCACCAAAAACTCACGCGAATAAATATGCTTAACCTTGTGCCTGAAGCAATCTATAACGATTCCATGTAAGATCATGATAACATAAGAATTAAGGAAACTGCATAAGGTCTGTTGACCCATGGTAAGGCCAATGTATATTATGCTACCCGGTAATTTATTCCATAAATCAACAACACTATTTGGAAACCAGTATTTACCCAGTTCTTTCCTGAATCTAAACTTACCCGATTTATGTCCATTGTTTTGTATTCTACTTTGTGCAGGTATTATTAAAACGTTATTTATATCCCTTTTGTTACAGACTTTCGTTCTTATATACTTCTCTCGTATCACCTCTTAATCTTCGTCTTTCTAGAGAATGTCAATAAAAGGTTGTTGCTCTCTCTTCATAAGGAAGAGGTCTAATTCCTGAGATTAATGAACAAATCCACAAGAGCCATGACGAGGTTTCGAACCCTCGTCACGGCCCTTGTGGATTTGTTCATTTGATGCATCACGCTATTGTGATTTCTGTGTGTCCTGAGATTAACTTTGTCATCCTTCTCTATTCAAGTTCAAGTAAGTTTATGGTCATATGGAAAATTTGTTTACTGAGAATTATATAAAATATATATAAATGTAATAATTTCCCCTGTAAATTAATGTAAATATAATCTCCAATATTGTAAATCATTTAAAGAAAAATAAGTATAACATTTAGGGGTTTAAAGTTCATGTTCTGTGATAATGAAACACTTGTTTACTGAGCATTATACTACTGTATATGTAATGTAGTATTGCCTTGTAAAATGTATGTATATATGATTTATATTGTATTTTATTAAATAAAGATAAAAAAAAGTTTATGGTCATTCTATAGTATGGTGTCCAAAACTTAACTCCATATTGTAAATGGGGCCCCCCTCGATAAAGTTGAGGAACAACCTCAGATATCTTCATGCTATCGTTTCTTTAAAATAAATTCCAGTATCTTTATTGCTTTACTTATTTTTTGCCTTAAGAGCCCTACTGATTATGACTCGCATTCCGATTTAATAATTTCAACATTACTTAGCTAATATCCTTTAACTGTATTATTATTACCTAAGTTCAGATCCCTTGATGATTGGTTCTAAATATGCTTCTGTCGATGTCATGTTCACTGAATGAGTCATGTATTGTTTACAATGAACAGCTGTTCAAGCAGCTGCATATTTTAAACGTGCTTGTCTTGGAGATATTTATGGTTTTAAATCGGGATTTTCTTGGCCATGGCCATTTATAAATAAACTTCTATTCTTGTTACGTTCATTTTTAGATGTGTTTGTGATCCCTGTCCATATTTAGATGGACATATGTAATGTCTGGTTCTAATAGTATGTCTGGTTAAGTCATATCCATTTCCAAATATATTATTATATTATATATATACACACACATACCAAAAGAATAGAGGTAGTAGGAGAAGAAAACATCAAAGTGTTCAGTGAAGATCCACAAGGTCTTCTCTGAGTACTCTTTAGTTTCTTCTACGAGGCTATGGGTCCCTACACTTGCACCAGAGGTGGTGGTACCCCTTCTAGGTTTATTATTATTTGTTATATTTTGGTACATCTGCATTGATACAGGTATCCTACACTATTTGAAGGGATACATAAATATTTGAAGGGATACATAGTGTGTCAAGAAGAAACGTGATGACAAAAAAGTTTGCCATCTCGCAGGCTGGTAAGTCATGCAAGGCCATGAGATCAATAGCCTACACTGGCAAATTCTGGGTGTTTTTATGAGGCTACCCTCAGGAACACGAGAGTGAATAAAGTGGTTGCAAAACTTCAGGTACCTCATGGTACCTCATACTGGCAGGTCTGAAGGGTTTAATGAATGGACATTTTGTCTGAGTTATGACCATTCATTGTCTATTCCCAACTGCGCTTCAGATTGGATCATGTCTAGTTCTTAATGTGCTTCAGATTAGATTATGTCTGGTTCTAAAATGACACTTAGATTAGATCAAGTCTGGTTTTTAATGTATTTTTGCTTAAGACAATCTCATATGTGACGTTACTACAGACCTGTAGTCACGTCCGACACTGGACGTGACTACATCAGTCACATCCATTTATAAATGAGCTTCTGTTTGAGTCACGTCCATTTGTAAATTTCATTTCCTAATTGAATCGCAGTTTACTAATTCATCTTCTTTTCTAAACGTAAAAATGCAAAATGATTTATTTTTTAAATCTCTCTGCACCGTGTCATTTATAAATAATTATGAAAAAGACAATTTAATTTCCGATTAAAAGTAATTAATAGTCTTTTTTTCAATTTTAATTTGTTAAATTAATATATATATATATATTTTTTTTTTTGGGGGGGGGAAGGGGGAGGGTTCACTAAAGAGCTGTCACACTACGTCTAAATATTTGTATGACTCAGTGGCTAATATGCCAGCGACAGGCATATTATGCCATATTTAAACTGGCATATAATATACCAGTGTAAATATGGCGCCTAATTGTTATATTTTAATCTAAATATGCATGTGACCGCAACACCTGCATTTATACCCACACACATCACCTTCGCTGCCTACATAGTTGGCTTGCCGAGTCAGCTCAAAGTCTGGCAGTGTGTTGTGAGGCGGCGTCATGTTTGACATTGTGAGTGAGTGAGTGAGTCAGGGAGTGAGTGAGTGAGGAAGACAAGCCATTATGAGAGACCTAGCGACACGCGCTACTCCCAGGCGCTCTGGATTTCACCAGAGGAAATTCTGCTTTCTCATGCCACTTCCTCAACTTCGCTGGGCTGCGTGTGTGCTTGGGGTGGGGCGAGGCGAACCCGGCGGCGCGGGGGTGATGTTGGCGCGGGGCCCCGGCGGCGCGGGGTGACGTTTTGACGGAGTGAGGCGGTGCAAGGGGTGGTGCACGTAGAGTCCTCTGGGGCTGGGTGGTGTAGAGCTGAAGTGAGGCGGGGTCTGGCAGTGCGGGGAGGTGTATAGAGGCGCAGTGGGGCCAGATGATGTGGGATGGTGTGGGAGTAGGGCGAAATGGCGCCTGGCGGGGCGGGATAGTGTGGGAAATGGGAAAGGGATGTTCATTGGCTGTTGAATAGGGTCGTACCTGCCTATTTTTTCCCCAGGAAATTATAGAGGGGATGAGGCATAAATGAGTCCCTCTACACCAAGACTGCTTCACTCCTGCTAACGTCAGGACTGTAGTCTAAAAGATAGACCACTTAACGCTATAATCTAAAAATGCAGGGAACAGGCTTCACTACAGATAGATATTGAGTACGGTAATTTACCTGAATTTACCTGAGGGGTCACCATCTCTAGTGGCCTCGACGGAAACAGGGAGCCGGATGCCTCTCATTATTCTAAATATATTTCCAAATATATTTTTTTTGTCTTAGCTTTGTACTCTGATAATTGTAAATGTGAAACAAAATGTGTGTAAAACATTTGCCAAGACAAAATAAGAAAAGGTTCCTTGGTGTGATCTGAGTGGTCCCTTGGTGTGGTCTGAGTGGTCCCTTGGTGTGGTCTGAGTGGTCCCTTGGTGTGGTCTGAGTGGTCCCTTGGGGTGGTCTGAGTGGTCCCTTGGTGTGGTCTGAGTGGTCCCTTGGAGTGGTCTGAGTGGTCCCTTGGGGTGGTCTGAGTGGTCCCATGGTGTGGTCTGAGTGGTCCCTTGGTGTGGTCTGAGTGGTCCCTAGGTGTGGTCTGAGTGGTCCCTTGATGTGGTCTGAGTGGTCCCTTGGTGTGGTCTGAGTGGTCCCTTGGAGTGGTCTGAGTGGTCCCTTGGTGTGGTCTGAGTGGTCCCTTGGTGTGGTCTGAGTGGTCCCTTGGAGTGGTCTGAGTGGTCCCTTGGTGTGGTCTGAGTGGTCCCTTGGTGTGGTCTGAGTGGTCCCTAGGTGTGGTCTGAGTGGTCCCTAGGTGTGGTCTGAGTGGTCCCTTGGTGTGGTCTGAGTGGTCCCTTGGGGTGGTCTGAGTGGTCCCTTGGTGTGGTCTGAGTGGTCCCTTTGGGTGGTCTGAGTGGTTCCTTGGGGGTGGTCTGAGTGGTCCCATGGTGTGGTCTGAGTGGTTCCTTGGTGTGATCTGAGTGGTCCCTTGGTGTGGTCTGAGTGGTCCCTTGGAGTGGTCTGGGTGGTCCCTTGGGGTGGTCTGAGTGGTCCCTTGGAGTGGTCTGAGTGGTCCCTTTGGGTGGTCTGAGTGGTTCCTTGGGGGTGGTCTGAGTGGTCCCATGGTGTGGTCTGAGTGGTCCCTTGGTGTGATCTGAGTGGTCCCTTGGTGTGGTCTGAATGGTCCCTTGGAGTGGTCTGAGTGGTCCCTTGGGGTGGTCTGAGTGGTCCCTTGGAGTGGTCTGAGTGGTCCCTTTGGGTGGTCTGAGTGGTTCCTTGGGGGTGGTCTGAGTGGTCCCATGATGTGGTCTGAGTGGTTCCTTGGGGTGGTCTGAGTGGTCCCTTGGTGTGGTCTGAGTGGTCCCTTGGGGTGGTCTGAGTGGTCCCTTGGGGTGGTCTGAGTGGTCCCTTGGAGTGGTCTGAGTGGTCCCTTGGTGTGGTCTGAGTGGTCCCATGGTGTGGTCTGAGTGGTCCCTTGGTGTGGTCTGAGTGGTCCCTTTGGGTGGTCTGAGTGGTTCCTTGGGGTGGTCTGAGTGGTCCCTTGGTGTGGTCTGAGTGGTCCCTTTGGGTGGTCTGAGTGGTTCCTTGGGGTGGTCTGAGTGGTCCCTTGGTGAGGTCTGGGTGGTCCCTTGGTGTGGTCTGAGTGGTCTCATGGTGTGGTCTGAGTGGTTCCTTGGGGTGGTCTGAGTGGTCCCATGGTGTGGTCTGAGTGGTCCCTTGGTGTGGTCTGAGTGGTCTCATGGTGTAGTCTGAGTGGTCCCTTGGTGAGGTCTGAGTGGTCCCTTGGTGAGGTCTGAGTGGTCCCATAGGGAGGTCTGAGTGGTCCCATAGGGAGGTCTGAGTGGTCCCTTGGTGTGGTCTGAGTGGTCCCATGGTGTGGTCTGAGTGACGCCGGAAACTTTACTGACTACAGTTACGGGCCAATAACTGTATGCACGTTGAACCCAGACTGGAGAGAGTGGTCATTACATCGAAGGAACTGTTACAGTCATTAAGAAATCAACCCAATAACTAAAGACTCAGAAAACTCAGTATTTTCCCGCTTGAAAACAGTAGGCTACAAGCTGTACCTCAAACCATTAGGATATTACAAAAATATTTTACATTACAAGACAAGTTACGTAAGCTGCAACTTGACTCACGTAATGCAACTTACCCAGTCATATGACAGTGAATAAATGTGTTTAGTGAAAAGATTAGTAGCAAGAGAACTGGATGATAAATAATGGTTTTAAATGTCCAGGTAAGGTTTTAGTGCACCGTTAGTTTAGTAAGGGAGCCGGTCGGCCGAGCGGACAGCACGCTGGACTTGTGATCCTGTGGTCCTAGGTTCGATCCCAGGCGCCGGCCAGAAACAATGGGCAGAGTTTCTTTCACCCTATGCCTGTTACCTAGCAGTAAAATAGGTACCTGGGTGTTAGTCAGCTGTCACGGGCTGCTTCCTGGGGTTATCAGGCTTCCACCCTGGTGGGGTGGAAGCCTGGTCGAGGACCGGGCCGCGGGGACACTAAAAAGCCCCGAAATCATCTCAAGATAACCTCAAGATAACCATGAAAAAGGAACGTTATTATTTTCGTGCCGGTGATGTTAGCTGGAAGGCTGACAGAGAGGAGGTGCCTTCTTGAATGTCTTCATACATCTGTCCATATAAGCTGTCAAACAAGAAGTACCAGTTAACCTCGTCTCCTGTTATCCGTTTGCCTATGTACTTCCTCATTACCTATGCATTGTAAAGGTTCTTCATAATACTCATTTCTCCCATTAAGGTGTTCAACTTCCGTTCACGTCTGAGTTTCTCTTCTGTTAACAGAATCTGGCACCATCTACAATAGTGATGGAATAGTGTTTGGATCGTGATCGCATGTGTGAGTATTCTTGGCAACATGTACTTACACACACAAATGAGCCACAGAGATATTAGAAAGAACTTTTTTAGTATCAGAGTGGTTGACAAATGGAATGCATTAGGAGGTGATGTGGTGGAGGCTGACTCCATACACAGTTTCAAGTGTAGATATGATAGAGCCTAGTAGGCTCAGGAATCTGTACACCAGTTGATTGACGGTTGAGAGGCGGGACCAAAGAGCCAGAGCTCGACCCCCGCAAACATAACTGGGTGAGAACTAGGTGAGTACAAAGTACCTACAGGAAGAGAGGAGTATCGCTCTTTGTTTCACCTTTTCAACTTCGGATATCTAGTGCAACTCTGCTCAATATTCCCATTGTCGTGCATACTTCTGAAGCTGTGAACTGAAGTAGCCTCAACCCTCTCTTGTTTTAGCTCATATTTCACGCGTCCACTACTCGAGCACTGAAGAAACTTCTCCTTGCACCTCCGAGGCTAATTTATATTCCATTTGAACAAATCCACAAGGGCCGTGATGAGGATTCGAACCTCATCCTCTCAGACGTAGATTCGAACCCTCATCACGGCCCTTGTGGATTTGTTCGTTTGATGCATCACGCTATTGTGGTTTCTGTGTGTATATTCCATTTTCCACGTGTGTCCTCTAGTTATATTCCTCCTCGTGTGGTAAAATTTGTTCCCTTTGTCTAATTATTGTATGTATCTTGTATGTCATGACTATGTTTCATCAATATCTTCATTCTAGTGTTTTTTTCATATTAAACTTTTTGAAACAGTCTTCATATCTCATTACAATTATGGTATCAGCCTAATATTTGGACCTACTCAATTACCTGTAGGTTTGAGCTCCATGCCGGTGCCGCACAGCTGGTTTAACATAGACTGTGCAGCACACAATGAAATCACAAGAACGTGATGTAAATATTGAGTCCATGCATTTTGATCGACTTCGTGTTGCTGGACGTGAGTGCATGTGCCAGCGGAACTTAGAGCTGATAGTTCGATCCCACTGCAGCTCTTGTACCTGGTAATTTTAGATACACTGTTGATGGTACAATCTTCCCGTGTACCTGTCGGGCCGCTGGGGCATTTGTCCTGGGAACTACCTCAAGGCAACCTCACGCTAGTCTCAAGGTAACCTCAAGGTCATCTCAAGGTATGGGTTTATTTGCCCTGCCTAAGGCTTCTATTTGCCCTGCCTAAGGCTTCTATTTGCCCTGCCTAAGGCTTCTATTTGCCCTGCCTAAGGCTTCTATTTGCCCTGCCTACGGCTTCTATTTGCCCTGCCTAAGGCTTCTATTTGCCCTGCCTAAGGCTTCTATTTGCCCTGCCTAAGGCTTCTATTTGCCCTGCCTAAGGCTTCTATTTGCCCTGCCTAAGGCTTCTATTTGCCCTGCCTAAGGCTTCTATTTGCCCTGCCTAAGGCTTCTATTTGCCTCTCAGTCAGTCTGCATTGAAGGTTAAGATAGGGCTGCCACCAGACCTGAGAGCATGGCGCCTACATCACAAACTGGAAACTCTAACCATTACACGTGAGGTTTGACACATATATGATCGACCATATGCAAGATTTGTCACATATATTATCAGCCCCTATATGATCAACTCCCCATATGTGATCTAACCCCATATATGATCAGTTCCTATATACGATATTATGTACTACCTTTCGTAGATAGGCTCTTCCACAAATATAAATATGATCGTGTATGATTGATCTAGCATATGTAACAAAATATTACATGTGTGACATGTATATATAAAAATTATGTATAAAGAGCCGTTTATGAGCCACGGTTGTATATTAAACAATAACCTTCATTATATATTAAGTGTATGATGAGCCCCGTGTGTATAACACACGCCATGTATATTAGGCTACGTATGAATAGTGAAGCTCGCGTGAATGCATAAGAGACCCGGAGTATATTGAGCCGCGTGTGGCCGTGATGGCGGCGGGCGGCCCAGCGCAAGTCACGTCGCAGCTGGCGCGTCGGTCTGTGGCGGAAGGAGAGGCCGCCACCACCGCCGCCACGTGGTGCACCGCTCCTCATTCCCCCCCTTCCGCCGCCGCCACCCGCTCTGTTCCCGCCCATAACCCGCCCAGGGCGGCCGCCCCTGACGGCAGGAGACCCATGTCCTCTCCTAACCTCTATCCTACAGAGTAAGACAACATCGTAAGATACAGGGGCTCAACTTGAGAATCGACTTAAGAATGGTCCAGGACGGACCGAAACGTCGTCGTCCCTTCACCTTCTAGTGTGTGGTCTGGTCAACAGGGGTTCAACAGCTGGGTTATTATGGCGCTATGTAAAGCAACACCAGCAAAGGCTTAATTTCTTAATTAAATTTTTACGGGCTCACCATAGCCAGTGCTACATGGATATTTCGTTCTGAGTAGCTAAATCTAAAACAACAACAATAGCGAGGGCTTAATCAAACACGACAAATCTTGTATCACAAGCTTTATAGAAATACATGACTCTGCATCACAAATTAACCAAATCATTTTAAAAGGGTATGTAGATTGAATTTCTGGAGCGTCGTGAAAGCCCTTTGTTGACACAGTGCAGCAAGAAACTTGTGCACAAGTTGGAGAAAAAGCCCCGAGTGCTGCTCACTATCTTCATTTGTCACTCTGTAAAAAAACAAAAATCCAACCTTTTAACCTTAGAGAGCGACGTAGGAACCCACTCAACCCACCTTCCCAGCCCCCAATGCATAGAAAACGTAAATGTATCTGAATCATTACTTTTTTTTAATATGTTACATTCTAAACGTTGGTTACGATAATATATAAAACACGACGTTTTAGTTACCAGGACGAGTGGCAAGGAAGGTACTCCAGGGAGTAAAGGAGTAGCTAAGTCAGAGACAGGCATAGCTCAATATATATATATATATGTATATATATATATATATATATATATATATATATATATATATATATATATATATATATATATATATATGTACGTATATGTATATGTATATATATATATGTATATATATATATATATATATATATATGTACAAAAAATATTCAAGGAAGGGGGTGGTAGGAGAAAAGCACACAGAAACTGTATTGGAGGGGATCTAAACATTCCCTCTAATGCGTTATGCGTGGTTTCCTCCGAGGCTATGGGTCCCCCTTCTTCCAGCTAGAGGTGGTACTCCCTTCCTATATATATATATATATATATATATATATATATATATATATATGTATATATGTATATTTTAAAAATCCTTGGGGTTATTGACAAAATCTACCTCCAGAAGCTCACATCAACCGGATATCATCAGCTGCATATGCAATGTTAGATAACAAAAGAGCCGCCTTCAGACAATTGAATAAGGGCATGGAACCTGCACGACAGTCGACAGGGTTGGAAGGACGACTCAAAGCATACACCTGTATATCTTGGTCACTACTGCCACTCACCCTAACCTAACCTAACTCACCCTAACCTAACCCGTTCTCCGCCAAATATACAAGCAAGCTTGCAATATATCAGTCAATTAGCGCGTTATAATGTCTTAATGAACGTCTCATCAAAAAGAGATTGTCTACACATATTCCATTCTTGAAGTGTTTTGTGTTTGCTTGTTTGTCTTTGTAAGGCTTGGGAGGTGTTGTTGAGAAGGGAAGACGGGAGATATATTTGGAATCCACATTTAGGTGCGGATGCCGCCCTAAATTGCTGTCTCAAGCCTTCCTATCTTCCTCCTTGGCATCGGATGACCCAGTCAGGGCAATTCTACCAGACAACATGGGGGGGGGGG